CTGAGGCGCCCGAGGCGCTCTGCCCGCCCGCATGGCCGAGGCTCCCGTTGAGGACCCGAGCGACGCGCTCAGGACGCAGCAGTGCTGGAAGCTCGTCAGGAACCTGGAGGCCGCTATTCAGCAGTTCCAGTGCCACCCCAGGTGATCCGCGGGGGCCGCGTGCGCAACCCTGCCCGGGCGGCTCGAGGCCTGGGCGCCACAGCTTCAGTGTCTTAAGAGTGCCCAGACTGTCCCAGGACCGTATCCCCAGAGCACGCACTCTGGAGCCTGATGGCCCGGGTTCGAATCCCGACCACCCTCTCCCAGAGACTGAGTTAGGCAAGTTATTTAACTTCTCTGTGCCTCGGTTTAGCTCCTCTGGAAAACAGCGCTGACGAATAGTGTCTGCTTCGTAGGTCCTAGGGAATATTACATTAGCTAATCTTAGTAAATGGTGACAAGAGGGCAGTGCATAATGGGCACCCAGTCCCTGTGTTTATTCCTTGAGGCTTCTCTAATGAAATATCACAGATTGGGTGGTTTATAAATAATAGAAACTTCCCCAAGGGCCTGAGGAGTCCAGGATCAAAGCCCTGTGAGATTCAATGTAAGGATAGCCCCTGCTTCATGGCAAGAACCATCTGGCTGTGCCCTCCCATGGTGGAAGAGGCAGGGGAGTTTTTCCCCACTTCTTCCACTCCACCCCACCCTGCTTTTATAAGGGCGCTAATCCTGTTTATAGGGGCCCCACCTTCACGACCTCATCATCCCCAAAGGCCTCACCTCCTAGTACCATCACCATGGGAGTTAGGATTTCCACATGGGTTCTCTGGGGGCAGATTCTGAGACCTAGCAGTGCCACATATTGTGGCAACATAATTGTTATTCCTTGCCAAATAATCTTTCTTTGCTACCTGTGCCTGTTTTGATGTTTATTTGGATGAATGTAAAGATGTTGATTCTGGAAAACTGTATCTTTCTTCCTAAATATCTATGTATATAAGTAAATAGCCAGCACTCTGTAAGCTGTTCTGAGTATTAAAACTCCCCAAGGCAGAGGCCACAGGGGACCAGTGGGTGGTTTAGCGGAGAGCCACTCACACTGTGGCGTCTGCAGGTGAGAAGGACATACCTAGTGGACAGTCCGTCGAACTCAGCCTCCCCAGCTCATCTTGTTAACTGGACACCTCTGGTAAAATAGTGACGGCTGTGAAAAGCAGGTATTGGACATAGCTCTCCTGGTAAACACCAGACTTCCAGTGTCCAGCTTGCCCTGTTGTTTGCTCACTGGAATGACTTCTTGCCCAGGCTTCCTTGGCTTTCCATGGTGGAGCAACTCCCCAGCACACACACCAGCCAGACACAGGCACAGACTGACCTCTTCAGACGCTCTGTTGACATTTGACAACCAGACAGGGAAGTGTAGATGCCCACTTTAGTTTCTCTTCACCCAAAGTCCTCAGAAGACCACGTCGGTCCTCTTATGGAATCCTAGACCTGAGGTCTGAGTGTACTGGGCCAGGCCCTGGGGAGGCCACAGGGCACACATAGCAGCCGAAGCCCTGGCCTTGGCAAAGCTTACACTTTAGTCAGGAACCAATGGCAAACTGGACTATAATACTAGTGGTTGAGTGCTAAACAAAAACAAAGCGAGGAGACATAAGGAGAGTGGAGGCTGTAACTGTGGACAAGGCAGGGGTAAAGACCTGCCTCATCATGTATCAGAGGACAGGCAGAGGAGACAGGAAGTGGATAGCAGGGTACCTGGGCATCCTGGGAATGGCAAGGGGGCCGTTGTGTGGCCGGAACTGATGGGCAGGGGCACAGTGTGTGAAGGGGTTTAGCGCTTGGTGACAAAGGGCCTTAGATAACGTAAGGACTTGTGCTCTTACTTTGAATTAAATGGGAATCCAGGCACTCATTGGGACAGAGGGCTGATGACCTGTGGTGGGAGGATGGAACTCCATGAACTGAGTTGGGGCAGATAACGAGAGGGACAGCTTTAAGGGGAACACTACTTTCGGATGTGACCTGTGGCAGTGACTGTCAGAAATCAGCCCCTTTAAACTGTTAAGTATAGTTGGCTATATGAGCCTAGAGTAGAAAAGATGGGTCAGATTTGGGGTATCGGTCTGGCCATAATTAGCACCAAGATGGTATGTTAAACTGTGAGATATGGTGGGGTCAGCTGGGAAGCGAGTGTGTGTACAGGACAGACTGGCAGACCACGGGCACATCAAAATCTGGTATTCTCTGACGAGGGAGAAAGGAAACACTTCCTTTTATAATGCTGAGCAGTGTGCACAGCGAAGCACACCTAATGCCATCTTCACTGTCTCGTTCATTAGCACGCTTTGTTAGGGTGGGCTGTTCTAGTATTCAGTGGGATGTGTTGCTGCACATCCCAGATCCGTTTCTATAATAAGGAGATATGTTAATTTTGTATCTAATTTATTAGAAACAGGTGTTATCTTTAACATAAAGCATAAGACTGTTCTTTATGCATAACCTATTCTTCAGAAGTGGAATTGCTGAGCCTGTGAAGAAGGACTTAGCTAATTTGTGGTGATGTGGACTTCCCTTCTAGGCAGGGGGTTGTCATCTAAAATAGAGACGTTTGGAATTGGAAGGGAAGCTGGAGAGTGACCATTTGAATTTCATTTAGATTCTGAGTGAGACAGATACTTCTGAAGCAATCACAGAAAAAGTTAGGACTGAGGAGAACCTACCAGTCATGGGTCTGTCCACATTAGGGATTTAGACAAGGAATCTGCCCCTCTGTGCTTATTTCAGATGTTATTCATTTCTCAGAACCTCAGTTTCTACACGTGCAAAGAAGGAAGCCTCTCTCCTATTAGACTGTTGTGAGGATGACTACAGGAGAAAACATGGATGTTAATACGTATATCTTAGCAAACACAAGGGACAAGTTCAGCACTCAAAAGAGTACTAACACTGCCTTTAGACCTTCTAGAAGAGGAATCTATAAATTCACTGGGCTTGATTTTAGGTATTGTATTACTGCAATACCATGATAGCAGAGGGATTACCTGAAAACATCATTCCAAGTTTCTAAATCATATACTGAAGATGGATAGATAGACAAATTATGAAAATGATCCATACTGCATAACTTTACCATGCACAATAGGTCTTTTGCTTAAAATAGTAAGGAACTAAAAAAAATACATGATGGAATTTCGTGACAAATGAAGTTAAATAGTAAAAAGGAGCCATTTAGCACGGTGGGGTGGGGGGGTAAAGGAGAGTTATTTCTAGACCAGAAGGATGAATCACTGAGGTCTTTCAAATGTCAAGCAGTGTCAAATATAAAGAGATGGTAAATTTAGGTGGTTGTTTGTATTTATTACATTGATGTAGCACTCAGAACCTGCACAGGATGCAGGAACCTCGCCAGGATTTGAACAGGTAATACTTCCTGCACCTTGTTAAATATTTAGGAGTTTTCAACTAGTTAAAGGTGTGGCAGTGGTAAAAGAAGACTCTAAGTAGCAGAGTGAGAGCAGGTGCAGAAAGCAGCCGAGATATTCAGATCTGAGCAATAGTGAGTGAGAAAGGAACAAAGAATTTAGAGTCCCCCCTGCCAGTGCCTGAGATAAAGCCTCTTTGAAGAGGACATGGCTGCCACTGAAACTTACAGCATGACCATGGTGAAGAAACTTGCTCAAGGCTGCACCTGCCCTGGTCTTCAGGAATGGCTTGCTGATCTAGGAAACTTGCTAACAAGTACACATGGTCTACCATCCTTTACTTAGCTGGGAGAACCTCATTTTCATTCTTGAAGGTCTCGAGTTCTCAGAGGTTTTGCCATTTTGTTTGGGTTGCTGTGTTTTTCCATTAAGATTTGCTCTTGAGTGTGGAAACACCAAGAGGCCCTTTTAAGAATGCCCTGTGTTCCAGACAGAGCCTTTCTTTATCCCATTGTGTACCGAGACCCCGCTGTCCCTGGGTGATCAGAAGCAATTGTGCATTTTGTTCAGTGGCATTAGGACTTTTAGCGAGTAAAAGATAGCATGATAGTTATCAGTGCATCTGCTGGCCAAATGTCAGCTCATCTAGATCAGTGGAATCCTTGTGTTTTCCGTTGGGACCATATTCCCCTTGAGAAGTAGGGCCTCCCAAACCATCAGTTTGTAAAGCATCTACTGGAACCTTTAAGATAGAACTACATCCCTTCATGGATTTGCATCTCAGCTGTTATAACCAGATCTTCAGTAAGCTGTTGTATTCATCCACTGGGACCCCAGTTGAGGATGATGAATTATGTGATGAGATCAGTTAACTAGTGGGCCATTTCTTCACTTCTCTTGTTGTGAAATAAGTACCTCGATCAGAAGTGATGTTATGTCCAATAGCATGCTGGTGGGTAAGATTCTGTAAGTTCATGCAGAGTAGTTCTTGCAGATGCATTATGGTTTCAGAATGCAGATTTATATCTAGAATGTACTCTGTCCCGGTGAGGATGCTGGAAGAGGTTCGAGGTTGTTGACCCACTTCTGGGTGGTTGGATGTCCCTTCTGGTCAATTGGGGAGTCAGTATTGATGACTACTGTTGGCCAGTTAGACACTCTGTATTTGCTGAGAAACCAGGGCAGTTTTGGTAAGGAAAAATCCATGCTGTTGAATTCCATCCCTGCTACCACAGTCATTTTGTTCAAATGCCTTTGAGCAAACACTGGAACAATGCAGAAATTAACAGATACCCGTAGAGCGTGTCGTTCTGCAGTTTGCCATTCCCTGAATGCTGGGCACGTTCTTTGCAGTAGACGCTACTGCATTCACGCGGGGACATTCATGGACTGCTCCCATTCTTAAAGGCTCCTCCACGAACTCCTCCACAGGTTCGTTACCAGTCTCCATTTTGTTTCTTCCAGCTTCCTAACCATGCAACTAACACTCTAGCAACTGCCCATAAATCAGTATAGATATATACTTCTGGTCATTTCTCATGCAGAAAAAGTGGACAACCAAACGGGCATCAGGTTCTGCTCAGCAGGAGGACATCCCTTGGTGACTGTCTTTTAAAATCACTTCTGAACGGGGCTCTGAAGTTGCTACATAGTATCTGGTGACAGACTCGTCTGTTGATCGGGCTGGAGTTTTTTCTTCCCCAGTCAACAAACTAGGACTTCCCATGAGGC